AGCTCCTCGCTTCTCCACCATAGCTCTAGCCAATGGGTTAAAAATGTTGACCAACCTAAAAGGATGATTATCCCGATTATTACCAAAAAGTCACGAAGCCCATCTCCTTGGCCGAGATACAGGTACGTGAACGACCCCACCTTTTTAACTCCGCCCCGTGCTCATTGTTTGGTGCGATAGGCCAAGATTCATAGGAATGAATATGCTTCTTTGGCAGACGCGGAGGCAGATTTCTTGTTGATGTGTCAGAATGCCGCTGGATATAACAAACCCAAGAGTCAGGTCCATAGCGATTCTATGAGAATAAGAAATGTTGTGGAGGGCTTTATTGCCGAGCAGTCTAATCGGCATGTCAAGAAAGAAGACGAAGCTTCTCAGGCAAACCACCCCAGGCAAATCTCGGGTAGGAGTGCAAAAAATGATCCGGCAACTTTGCAACGGGCACAAAATGAGATTATTGATGAGTTGTTGGCCTTTACCGATGAAAAGTGAGTCTATCAGTGCTGGATCCCCCTTCTAAAATCCCTATAAAAAGAAAAAGAAAAAGAAAAATTCTCTGCTTTAGGACCAAATCTTTACTTCCTAAAGCATAAGCGGCCGTATATCTTATCTATCGCACAATTGTTTCGCTGAGTTCCCTATCATGAGCTTGCTAACATTATATTTTTGCCCTTATTTTTTAGGGGCGAGTCGGTTGCACATTTCTTCATTAACCTCCCAAGCAAAAAGCTTCATGGTGAATATTTTCGGGTAATCAAGCAACCCATTTCGCTCAACCTCATTAAAAGGAGGATAGTCCTCGGAGAATACCCTACATGGACTGAATTCGAGTCAGCGGTCCAGTTGATTCGTTCAAATGCTGAAGAGTACAATGACGAGCAGAGTAGCATCGTGGAAGATGTCCGTAAATTAGACGTGAGTACACAGTTCCCTATTTTGTACCGGCGAAAGGCGTGGTTGACACATCTTTCTTCACTTGTTGCTAGACGCAATTTCATAAACTTCTGAGCGAGGCAAAAGTAAGGGTTGGGAATGTGGAGGGTGGCGGAAGTGGTATCAGATTGCGCCTTAATGTACACCAGACACAATCACCCCCCCAAGAGCCTCCTAGAGGGCCCAGAATCAAACTCAATATTGGGAGCCGCCGGGAATCCGGGATGGATGGTCCCTCCGTGGCTGCGCAATCCTCACCTCCACCTCCACAACGGGTGCAGCGAGTCCCCAAGAAGCCTCCCGTCAACGGCCTGCGCACGACACGTGCAGCGCTAGCCGATAGGCCATCTCCGAGCCTTGAGTCCCCAGCTATTGCGCAGGCCAATGGCGCACGATCTGTCCGAGGCAGATCCAATGATTCGCCCGGCAAGCCTCCCCAGGGATCAAAAAAGGAGCCTACCCCACCTACGCCGGTAACATCGTTTCTTCCACAAGCTGCCCCACGTGACCAAAAGAATCTGTTACTGCTTCCGGCTTCCCAATCACCAAAGCCAGGCGCCGGGAATATGACACCTTCAACTCAAAGCGGGAGATCGAGAAGCCCGGCAAATGATTCGATAACCTTGAGGGCTAGGTCCAATCCTCGGACACCGCAACCCCGGGTATCTTCACCGGCACCAAATATAGCAATGCCTCCTCCTCCACAACGGCATAGTGCTACCCCTGTGCCAAATGGGCATTCCCCTGCACCTCAGCCCAACGCTTCTACACCTGCACCTCCGGCTTTGCTGCAACCGAAGCCTAATGCGGGACCCGAGGAGCCAAGATACCGTGCCGACGGCAAAGGTATTCAATTCCGATTACATATATACTGTCTTAGAACTTTGAACTGATGTGCTACCTTTAGATGCCAGTGCTGCCATAATAAGCAGCGTACGTCTTGCTGCCGCCCTGAATGGCATTGATGGCAAGTTTAGTCAGGAGCTCTTTCCTGACGATCGAAAGTTGATGACGCAATTTTCGATTCACCTTCCTCCGGAGGCCGGGCTCGTGGTCTTCACTCCCGTTTTGTCGACGGCAAATCTAAACAATAGGGCATACAAACTTACTGTAGAGCTCAGAGTGAACAACAACACCCCAAGACTCCTGATCCCTAACCCCAGCTTGCAGAAAAAGAGAGAAGAACCTCCTTATGAGTTTCGCCCCAGCCCCGGGAGTGTCAGCACCCTGGAATGCACACTCGTCACTACCGTCCAACGTCCCGCTATAAATGGCACTAGTAACGGTGTTAACGGCACGACCAATGGCACCGCTAACGGTACTACTGGAACCTTTGGAAATTGGGAAATGGAGAGGTTCAGAATATTTTTCTCCTTCTTACCCGCCTAGATCTTCATTTCCTTTCAAAGTTTCCAGTTTTCAACCGTATCCTCCTCTCTCCTTTTCTCCCCAGGACCCGCCCTTCTCTAGCTGCCCTAGCACTCTCTTGATGAGGGCGGCGATCTTGCGGCAGTTACCTTCTATTGTTATAGGTATCATATGCCACTAATTTTCGATCTCCAGTTTACTCGAGGCCCTGGGTATTCCTTCCAAACACTGTATTCTAGAGATCACATTTTTCGTCCTCTTTAGTTTTTTCTTTCACCCCCTCCACCCCTCGCCCGCTTTTTATGGATTTTTTTCATGGTCTTTATCACTCCATGACCTCTTTTTTATTTTAATTTGGTTTTAATATTTTACTCTACTTTTCTTTTTGGTGGGGGGGGAAAAGTGGCTGGGGCTGTGGC